TGAAACACTTTGTCATATATCCATAAATTAAATGAGATATCTAATATTAAATGGTGTCATTGATGAGAACAAGTTAATTCTGTGAAAGCAGGGATGATGCAACAGTTTCACTGGAACACCGAATGTAAACATTAATTTGGAGCATTTTGAGCGTGGAAGGGTCAACATGGCCTTGTTTAGAAGGTTACATCACTGACTTACACTTCAGGTCTTAGGCCCTCTGTTGCTGTCTTTCTTAGATTAGCTCTATTTAATTTTAAATTATTTTGTTTCATCGTGCTTCTGATCTTAACAGCTATCTTTTTTCATTTAGTTTCATTTAATTGTCTTAAATGACCCTAAACAGTATTTCCATTAATTGTCAATTTGTGGACCTCATTTTTGACATTGATAAATCTCTGCTTTGCATTACAAATACTTCAACATCTGAGGCAAATGCTCTCCAAAGAAATGTATCAGTGCTCAAGATTGGGAAACAAAGTACACCAATCTGACTCTAACGTCTAAGTTAAGCAATACTGCCATGCAGACATGAGAAGTTATTCAGTTGATTGAAATTTTAACATCTTAAATGCCAGCAGGTCTAAGCTTCAGTTTTATCACTCATATATCTTAAGAATAACAAAACTGTCTTGCAGTCTGTTCCATGCAATCACTAAATAATAAGCCTTATTTAATACTCCTGGGGATTTAAGGGGTTACACCTGTTCTTGTTGCTTATTGTGACCAGAGATTCAATCTGTGTCTCTGTGCTGTGTTGCTTTGCTGTAGTAGTGTAGTAGTGTCATGTGCTCACAAACAGAGACTGTTTGTGCTACAAACTCAGGCTATTTGTGGATTGTTAGTATTTAATCAGATTGCAACTATGATGTAAATTAACTATGGTAAGTATCTTAAGCAGTTATTTGTTAGAGTTGTTTCAGACATTTTTGGGCAGCAGGCCAGTCATACCTGATGTAGTAATTTATGGAATGACCTGAGAGTGGGGTGAGCTTCTGTCAGCCTGTTAATGGCGTCTGATAGGCTGGCTTTATTTGAAGAATTTCCCTGGTTCGTTTTAGGTCTTATCGGCCTTTTCTGTCCTACCTTATCTCTTTAAGGGAACAATAATTACAGCAGATAGACATCGTACCTCCAGCGTGGATTTGTTGACTATCACTCATTGTGACCCATTATTGACCCATGTCACAGTGGACGGTTGCTGCACTGAGATTTTTGGTTCTCTGCATTCCTTGTTGTAGGACTGTAAAGTAAAATAGCAACAAAAAATACACCTAGTTAAGGAGAAGAAAAGGACAGTTGTAATTTATTTTTAGAAATGAAGATTAGTCTTTAAGCCTAATTGCAAGAGCTTGCTTGTTTGCAGTTGCTCTACATGTATAGTTTCCACTGTCAAACACAGAATAAGGAGTGCCATGCTGGCAGAATTGCCATGCTGGCAAGCCACTAAAGCTGTCATAACACAGGCAGAGTTATGTCATTTCATTCATCAGGATTACATCCTTCATTCAAATAGCAACCTGAACGCACCTTAGTAGTGCAAGTAGTATGCTATAAAGAAAACAAAAATTAAATAAGTCAATTTTCTAATCAACAGAACTCCATTAAGGCCAAAGCATAGCAGACCATAAGCGCCATAGATCTCTGAGAATGAGGGCTTAGAACGAAAACTGTTCCAGAAAAGAAATGTTAATATAAGAAACATGCTTTGTTACTGGTCAGTAGTATCTTTTTTTTTCATTCTGTGTAGCCCAGTAGTTTATTATTCATGGTTTAACCCCAAAACTTCAAAATATTTCTGGATCAACATTCAGGCGTAGATAGGTATTAAAAAAAAAAAAAATCACGTTTTAGCATGAAGAAGAGAATCGATAATGGATCATAAGTATAGCCATAGTAGTGCTTCCAAGAGACCAGGATCCTGTCTCTGGTCTGTACCTGGTGCTATAGTCTAAACCTAGTTTAGCTTTGACTGTGACGTGAAAGCATGAAAGTTTCTGTCACAGTGACACAACCAAACTCAGACCTTCAGCAACTTGTTGCAACACACTGCCTTCTCAATAATGTGCATACACAAACATACCAACCAAATCTGCCTCAACCTTTTGACTGCTGTATGCCAGCACGTTCAAATGTAGATAGACTTCAGCTCCCAGAAGCACACAGCACCTAGACGTACTTTCAGTCCTAAGAACAATAGCCAGATTTCTTCTCTGAGGAAAAAGTGGGTTGAGTTCAGTACAGAATTGTAATGAGTTGTCAGCTCAGTCTCGCACTGTTCTCTGAGACACAGAACAGGCTGACAGAGTTAAAGCCCTGACCACTGCTGCCGCAGTCAGACCCTTACTCAGTACTCAAGCAACCAAACAATAGTGCTCATCTTCTGTGAACAGAATGAGAAATGCTGGACTAAATGTTTGTTTATCTGCCCGGTGTTATCTCAAAAATTCTAATGTGTTTTCTACCATTTTCATGTTATTTATTTATGTAGTGTACACACTATATAGAAAATACTATGAATATAATCTGAACTAAAACATTCATACTGTGAGTATTACTATTTGTGTCTTCACCATTTACTGGTCAACAAGACCTGACTAAGACTGTGCGGACTAATACTAGGATTCAACACACTTTGCAACTCCCATTTTAAGCATAACTGAGCCTATTGTGTTTCAGATGTACATTTTAGAAATTGTGTGTCTATGCTTGGGCTTCACTCATGGAAGGCCACAGCACTGTTGAGTTTAACATTTTGAATAATTACATATTAAAAGCTTCAATCAGTTATTTGTGAAGACATCTTTGTTTATTTTGTATAGGGGTATAATACACCACCCATGATTCGATTCATGATACTGGATCCATGATTCAGTATTGTCACAATATTTTTAACATAATTCATGTAAAGGAAAAATGATGACTATAATAATGTTATTGCACAGCTTATTAATGACAGAGCTGGGAGATATGAGTAGTGTTAGATTAAGTTGCTAATTTGTGTTTATTGTTTGTAAACTTAGGCGGCACGGTGGTGCAGTGGGTAGCGCTGTCGCCTCACAGCAAGAAGGGCCTGGGTTCGATTCCCGGCCGGGTGACCAGGGTCATTTCTGTGTGGAGTTTGCATGTTCTCCCCGTGTCTGCGTGGGTTTCCTCCGGGTACTCCGGTTTCCTCCCACAGTCCAAAGACATGCAGTCAGGCCAATTGGACATGCTTAATTGCCCCTAGGTGTGAGTATGTGTGTGTGGATGTATATGTCTGTTTGTCTGCCCTGCGATGGACTGGCGACCTGTCCAGGGTGTATCCTGCCTTCCGCCCAATGACAGCTGGGATAGGCTCCAGCACCCCACCGCGACCCAGAAGGATAAGCGGTTTAGATGATGGATGGATGTTTGTAAACTTTGGTGTTTACACAGTGCAGTTACTTTAGGTGACATAATTAAGAAAATGTGTGTTCTCCAAGATGCACATTGTCACAGTTTTGCATTGCAATATCATAACGATGCATTGTTACACCTCAAGATTTGTGCTGTACTTTCGTTGACCCTCAAGAAAAACATTGGTGATTTTTCAGTGGAATTCTCCTTTAGCATTTAATCACTATCCAATCAGTAACATGTAAAGAGTAGTTTGATGTGCTTTATTGTAAAGAAACTTAACAAGTCAGAAATGGTGATAGTAGCCAGACATCTGAAGCGTTAAATGCCTCTAAAACTACATCATAGAAAGTTACTACATGAAAAGATTTTGAATATGCTGCATGATGCCTGAGACATGGTACATTTTATTGTGATAGGTTTACGATAAGGTTAAGGCCTACAAGTACATGCAGGGCATTCTAAGGCAAAGTAGTACGCAAAGAAAATTTTTTGGGGGTTTTACCACTGTTTTACTATGACCTTCATTACATTTAAAAACTCAAAAATAGTGCAGATTCATTTCAGTATGTATGTGTGTGTGTGTGTGTGTGTATGTATGTATGTGTGTGTGTATATATATATATAATATATATATATAATATATATATATATATATATATATATATATATATATACACTGATCAGGCGTAATATTATGACCACCTCCTTGTTTCTACGTTCATTGTCCATTTTATCAGCTCCACTTACTATATAGGTGCACTTTGTAGTTTTACAATTACAGACTGTAGTCCATCTGTTTCTCTGCATACTTTGTTAGCCCCCTTTTACCCTGCTCTTCAGTGGTCAGGACCCCCATGGATCCTCACAGAGCAGGTACTACTTGGGTGGTGGATCATTCTCAGCACTGCAGTAACACTGACGTGGTGGTGGTGTGTTAGTGTGTGTTGTGCTGGTACGAGTGGATCAGACACAGCAGTGCTACTGGAGTTTTTAAACACTGTGTCCACTCACTGTCCACGCTATTAGACACTCCTACCTTGACAGTCCACCTTGTAGATGTAAAGTCAGAGACGATAGCTCATCTGCTGCACAGGTTGTGTTGGTCATCCTCTATTCCTTCATCAGTGGTCACAGGGCGCTGCCCACAGGACGCTGTTGGCTGGATATTTTTGGTTGGTGGACTATTCTCAGACCAGCAGTGACACTGAGATGTTTAAAAACTCCAGCAGCACTGCTGATCCACTCAGACCAGAGCAACACACACTAACACGCCACCACAACATCAGTGCTACTGCAGTGCTGAGAATGCTCCACCATCCAAATAGTACCTGCTCTGTGAGGGTCCATGGGGGTCCTGACCACTGAAGAACAGGGTAAAACAGTCTGTAAAAACGACAAAGTGGAGCTCATAAAATGGACAATGAGCGTAGAAACAAGGAGGTGGTCGTAATGTTATGCCTGATCGGTGTGTATATATATATATATATATATATATATATATGTGTATGTGTGTGTGTGTGTGTGTGTGTGTGTGTGTGTGAGAACGAATTATGTATTCTGGATTTATATTTTTAAGTCAGCAAGGCAGCCAATTTGAACCTTTCCCCTTTTTTCTTCCACAGTTATTGGCTTGACAGTGTTTACTCTTTAATAATTTATCTATTTTCCCTTCTGTCTTACAGAATATATTTTAGCCATGTGGCCCCAGTGATTAATTATTCACTATTCTTATAATCTATGGGTAAGGTATGGGTTACTGAAAATCGACGGGGAGGCTCTTCTCCAAACTGAGGCTAAACAGGAAGTGAGACCATTCACTCATTGGTCAGACTAATACATGATGATGTCACCCTTAGAGACAGTTAAAGGGCGTTCACATGTGTACAGAGCCACAGTGTACAAAAACTGACACACAAGTTGGCTCCTCAGACAGGAAGAAGGAGATGAACTTCCTGTAAATCAGTTTTCTCCCTAGGTTAAAAGATTGCTCGTATGAGTGAGTATAATTTAACTATTTAAAGAAGAGCAGGCTTTTAATTCAAAAGTCAAAAATACTTAGCTATTTTTAGAATTTGTGTTCTTTTATATACTAAATGTGGTGCTAAATATAGAATATATGTATGCTGTTCTAATTTCTGTTCTGGACATTATTCAAATAATTTAATGTAGTGTGTTTGCTAATTTTATCAAAAGGCAGTGGAGTAGATGTGCTAATCGTAGTGTTATTTACTCTAAGCTTTGAATCAGATGATTCTTTTTTCTGGAGAGGAGGGAAGCAATAAGCCACCTTCTTTACCATGTATTGTTCTTACTGAAGTTTTTTTGCATATATCATATAGTTAGGATTGAACCCTGTAATTTTTCACAAGACATGTTATTAGATGTTGTTTCTCTGATTGCCTGTAAGAATGACAGGTGACTCCACCTTGCGGAGTGTATTTTCATTAGTCCCATGATGAGTACCGTAAATGCACATTATACACTGTGCTGACGAACATAGACATAGACAGCTGTGAGGCACTTATACTCTGCTACAAAATCCGATGCAGTGTTATGCGTTTTAACTTTATGTCTGTATGTATGTATATGTTTCTTATGTATGTTTCAAGTATATTTTCTATCAGTAAACTTTTTTTAGTTTAATAAGGTGTATTGTTTAAGGTGCAGCTTCATCTGAACATTTTAGTTAATGAAAAATTATTTGTTTTATTTATGTGTTAACCAACTAGGGTAACCTTACTGAAACCAGTAGCTCATTTTCAGAGAAGCCCTGTAAAAGACAATGCAATAATAATAACTAACGAAATAGGCAGCAAGGAATAAATAAATGTCAATAGCAAGTAATCATTCAAAGGAAACCGGCTACTTGGCATCGTTTGTAGCTGAGAGCATGCATGTGAATTAGAGGTTGCTGTGTGTTAAAGAAGGTGCTTCAGCTACAGAAAGGGCTTCTGAAAGAGCACGCTCTTGCAGTTTCTGAACAAAGATATTTGTAGTCAGGCAATAGGCTGTTCCACAACCATCTATTAGTGAGTGCAAGAGAAAGAAAGGGATGAGGAATAGAAAGAAAAAAGAAAAGGGGTGAGGGAGTGTAGGGTCCAGTGAGCACACACTTGACTGTATTGTCTTTTTCTAGAGAAAAACATCAGACCACCCCCCACCCCTGTCCCACACCTCAAGCCAAATTTTCAAATTGCGATCCTCTTGGCCACACAGGGAGCTCAGCCACTTGCCTCTGTTGGGAGGTTACCAGGGGAGTCAGATCTGCCAGTGAACCAGCCAATCGCAACCACGCAGCATAACCGCTGACCAACCGGGGGGCTGGGCTTGGAGCTTTGCAGCGGAGAAGCACCGGCAGAATCAAGCAAGGAGCACACTAGAGGCGGAGAGAGAGCGCTAAAGCTGGTGGAGCACACTAATCTCTCCACAGTGATCATGTGTCAGCGGAGCCTGAAGCAGCGGGGGCAGCACTGGAGCGGGGTGGGGAAATGGTGAGATGTTGCAGGGCTTTGCACAGACCGTCCTCTTGCTACAATCTCCACAGAGTCAGGGTTGATGCACGGCGCCTCCGGACGCTCGGCTCCTCCTCTTCCTCTTTCTCGCCGAGAACGGCAGGGGGGTCTGCAGGCGGCGTCAGCAACGCCAGCAGTGGAGGCCCTGGAGCCCCGGGGGCCGCCGTTCGGCTCAGCCACCAGAACCGCTTCAGGTACCGAGAGAGGGAGATGGAGAGAGTGTGATGCTAGAATAGAGCCCAGGCTTATAGTATGTGTGATACAAGGACATGCCACTTTAGCTTTGATTGGCACAGGGACTTAGACTTTGGAATGATTATTCATATGATGGATGACAGGAGTATGCAGGAGAAAACTGAAAGGAAGGTTGGATATGCGGTGGTTGTATTAACATCAGGATATTTTAATAACAGGTTATCAGATTTGATGTTTTCTTACTAAATTTGTTAAAAGGCAAAGGTACGGTTACACTCATCCTAGTGTTACTTTATCAGAGCTTTGATTAGGGTGTGTCAGGCAGTTATGCTGACAATTATACTCAGGTAGTAGCTTGTGGACTGAAGTGGATTGCTGGACAAGTGTGTGTAGTGTGTTTGGCACACAGTGACATTCTGTACACAGGCCAGAGCACTGAATGTAGCACGAGCGTGTGGCCTGGCTCTCTTAAAGTCCTCTCTCCCACAAAGCTATGGCACTGCATTTGGCCTAATTGCAACATAATGCCCCTAAGCCTCTGCCAGAAAGCTTGTGAACAATGTGGGCCAGTGGAGCCAGCGTTAGCCAGCCTTGAACTGTGCTTCATACAGGCTTTTATCCTTGAACTGTGCCTTTAGTCTTCAACTGGGCATTGTAATACCGAGCCAACCGCTCTCCTTCACTCTGAGAGAGACATAGCAAGGGAATTAAGGGAAGCCAGGATTCAGCTAGTGATTGGCTAATATGTTTCTGCCACAAACAAGACAGGGTGGATATATTGAAATGTGTGAGAGCATGGCAGCTTCAGCTTAGAATGTGTGTACAATTTTGTATACATGACAGAAATGGATGTACAATGTTGCTTGATTTGTCTTTCTTTTCGGTTGCCTCATTTTTTAGATTCACTGTTGATTTTGGGCTCCTAGTCTCAAGCCAACCAAAGCATTTAATTTTGTGGAGAAAAAAGCAAGTGAGCTGCAGTGCTCTTCATGCCGCTTCAGCTGTGCTGGACAGGCTGGGGGGAAGGGCAGGAAAGCCTTTAACACACTAATGAACCTCAGCTCAGTGTGACTGCTCAGGGTCTGTGCCAAATAAAATGTTTCTAGCTGTAGTCATTTAGAGCCATTTATGATTGGTACAGGGGGTGTAAGACAGCTGAACTGCATGCAGTCACCTTAAGAGTGAGTGAGGTTGCATAATGTAGCAAATGCGAGTAGTATGGTTTGAAAATGGCTGCAGACAACCTCTGTGTGCTGCAGTGCAGTTTTAAAGCAACAACATACAGTGTAAACTATCTTTGTTTAAGTACTTTTAAAATTATATTAACTGACAAGCTACAAAATTTAACTCTTTTACATCGCAAAATACTTTGCTAACTAACCACATATATACTGCGTAAGTGCTTTGTTGCGTCAAGTGTGCTGATCAGCATAAATTTTTACCCACATGAGATAATCAATACAGGAAGACAGACATTATTTCTTGGCCAGTAGGTTCACTGTTTTCATGATGGTGCTGGGCAATAAATTTTTTCAGTTGTAGGATTGAATAGTGCTATGACAATAGTCTTATTCTAGTGCAATATATAAAATTATTTATCAAGTAATATAAAATTAAATTACTAAATCCAATTTATATTTGAAACTAAAATATACATTTTGAGGACAGTGAATTCTCAAATATATAATACTGTGCAAAAGTCAGAGACCACCTTTTCATTTATTTAATTTCCAGTCAGAACGGCTAAACTTTATTTTTATTGATGTAGGACAAGACAGCATAAAAGTGACATAAATGTTGAAATAGTTCACAGGTGATAGGAAAAGGTGAAAAATCCACAGGTGTTTGTTCTTTTGAGAGAAAACAATGCTGTAACCCTGAAAGGATGTGTAGCTGTCAAGAAGCCAAGAAAAGAACATTTGCACTAGAACACCAGCTGATGTAACAGAACTGGCGGTTGGCGCTTTCCTCTGAGCGCGTTCAGCAGTCCAATGATGTTGCGTGAGCGGCATCATCAAACGATGCGGTGGCTGGCTTCACAGGTCTCAGAGGAAGCCTGTGCTAGCCTTCGCCCTCCTAGCATTGATAGTATAGTGTGACTGGGGGAGTCCTAACTAGCGGGTGGAATTGGGGACGACTAAATTGGGGAGAAAATTAAGAAAAAAAGTGTTAAAGCTCACGACATGTGAAAGAACACATTGGCTGTGCTTCAGACCCTTCCCAGGTGAAAGAATCTGATGTTTGTGAGTATTTAAAAGAACTGAGTCAAAACTTGATGTTGACAAATACCATTGTCATCATACCCTCATCTGTATAATGTTGATTTTGCATTTGAGACTTAAATGTCAAGATAAACTCGAAGCAGTACATGGACACCATATTTTAGCATGCTTTCTTTCTCATTCCGTAGTGCTACTTCTTTCAATTTCAACCATAAAAAATTTTCACAGTGCAGCTTGTAATTAGTGAAAGCCTGGTATCTGACTTTTGCACAGTTCTGTAGATGGAATTACAAACCTCATTTCTAGAAAAGTTGGGACATTTTGTAAAATGCAAAATAACAAGAATCTGTGATTTTGTTGATTCTCTTAAACCTTTTGTTAACTGACAAAAGTACAAAGAAGTTCCTTTTAATGGTTTGGCTGACCAACCAATGTATTTTGTAAATATAAACAACCTGCAACAAACCTGCAACACAAAAAATGTTGGCACAGGGGCACAATAAGATTTTTCTAAGAAATTTATAGAATATTCAAGTTACACTGTTTTGAAACATTCCATACTAAGCAGGTGAATTGGTAACAGTTGAGAACATCATGATGGTATAAAAAGGGCATCCACCAAAGGCTCAGTCTTTGCACAGTGGTAAACATGCCTTTGTCCCAGCTAGGGCTGGGCGATAAAACGATAACGATAAGTATCGCGATATAACTTTTCCTCGATAGAGCGATAAGACAGGTTCGATAAATGTTCGATATAATACACCATTCTCACACTTCCACGTTTTAGTGATGGCCCTGGTGGCGTTTTCTACTGCAAGGAAAGCGACACTACTCTGCTGTCGCCAGGAGAGGGCGCACTTCCGAGTTTTTGGACTTGATTAGAGAGGGAGGGAGCCACGAGTAAAAAAGAGTCGCCAAATATACTTTAGCAACGGCTGAAACGCGGAGTTATACATTCCCTGTCTGAGTGGATGTTATCGGCGATCTGTTCTCCTGTGACCGAGTGTGAGTGACAAGGTCAGTGGTGTAACTGTACTGTCCTACAGCGAACTCACCTCTTTCCGTGCATCCTAACAACTTTAGCGGTGTTAAATCACGTCTACAGCGCCGTGTTACAGCGCCAAACCGTCATATTTTAGTATTAGTGCATTCTTCCGAAACAAAAGCGAAAGAAAGAAGTGGGTTCATGTTCGAAAGTAAACTGAGGAAGCTGCGAGGCATTGGAGAGCGGGAGAGCGCTAGCTTTCCAGGCTAGCTGTTTTTAGCTGCTGGCTAACTTGAAGCAGCGCTCCGGCAAAACACGGTGAACTGATGATACGGTAAATCAAACAAGACACAAAATCACCGCTTTCAATTTAAACATACCTAAAAGGAGGACTCTGTGACTGGTGTGAGAGATTCACACTGCAGATAATGCTTTTACACAGCGAACGTCAGATATACTGCGGTTCACCCCTTAAACTACTACGGTAGCATAGAGAAACCCAGCCGTCGCTAGCTGGTGTCTGAATACTGTGATATGCTCTGACATGGGTGTGGTAGGAGTGACAGCAGTGACCTACCGAACCGAATCGACGTTGTTGAGAAACTAAAGAGTTTAGCACTGTTGTTGGCAGCTTGTTTAGCATTTGTAACGGGGTAGCTGAGTGCTCGTCACCAGACAGCTAAAAATAATCTGTTTTCTTTCTTAAATCATGACTATTACAAAAATTGCAGCTGTGCTTTTCAAGCTGATAAAAACAGCTCAGAAACTTTCTCCCACTCTCCCATGACAGATTTGTGAAATGTTCCACTGTTTGCCGAGTGTTTGTCATGATCGGACCATAAGTGATAGTTTAAAACCACAGTTAACCACCCAGGAGCAAAATCAGCCTTCAAACGTGAAAGAAATCATGATTTGACATTTATCGCGATATGTATCGATATCGAACGATATGAATTTTGTTTATCATGATATCGTTTTTGGCCATATCGCCCAGCTCTAGTCCCAGCTTTATTTGAGTGTGTTGGAAATTGATCAGTTATAAACACTGGAAATCTTTTCTTTGTACTTTTGACAGTTAAATGAAGGTTCATAAGTAAATCATTTTTTCTTTTATTGCATTTTACAAAATGTCTCATCTTTTGCAGAAATGGGGTTTGTAAAATATCAACAATAAAGATTTTGAATGATTTAACAACATTAATTCGGGGCACAGCTGTTTGTTTTTTATTCATTCATTTGTTTATTTATTTATTACTGTAGAAATGGCATTCTGTACTTCAGAATGAGCTGTGTGTATGAGAGAGAGAGAGAGAGGGGAAAAAAGAGAAACTGAGAAAGCGTGTCAGTGTCTAAGCCTTAACTATCCTGCTAAGTACTAGGTCTCATCCCGATTAGAGTAGACAGTGTATTAGCACCTATAGATAGCAATCGTGACTGCTGTTCAACACTGTCTCTGTCAACCTCCCTTGTGCTGGTTCATCACTTTCAGGGCCAAATATGACCCACTTCGCTGACATACTAAAGCTGATCTGGCTTTAGCCAGCTAGCTGCCTTTCTCATTTCATACTATGTGCTTTTCTATCTGCAAAGCAAGATGCTGTTCGCTCCAGACATGACAAATCATTGTACGCTTTGCCCCAGTCTCTGGCCTACAGTTGTGATCCAGTGGCGCCTCCTTCCTGCACTGGAGCTGGAGCTAAAAATAGTGCACAGATCTACCATGCAAAGCTGAGTGCTGGTGGACTGCTGTCACGGCTCTGCTGGCTCCTTTCCGCCAGCACTAATGCCCTACTTGTTCTGAATTGTCAGGAGGTTGAAAGACTGGTGCATTTCAAGTTTCAAGTGAATTTAGATTTATCCTTAGAAATGACTTTTGACATAAACATTCTATAGTACTGGGATATTTGGCAGATTCCTCTCTGTTAAATGTTCAAGATATGGCAGGTAGCACTCCATTTCTTCAGTTTATTATAAGCAAAGACAGAGGTTCAGAATCATGATGAGCAGCTGGGATAGACCTTTGTGCTGCCGTGGTTCCTATTTTGTAGTCTTTTTAGGCAATAAACGCTAGACTAAGGGGTTAAAGGGAGGTGAGGAGAGAGAATGTCTGAGGTCTTGGAAAACGCTTTCAAGAGGGTGGTATGGGGTTGTGAATGTAATACCATTGATTTATTGTAAAACTACTGTGGAGGTCTGCTACTGCTTCCATTTTCTCTGATTTTTCTGGCTGCCAGTTTGCTGTATTTCTCTGTCTCTGATCATTCAGCTGTTCAGTCTTGCTCTTCTAACCCTTTTTGGAATTTATTTGGTCTGCAGGGTGGAGGGGTGCACGTGTGGGTCTGTCTTCTGTTGTCTTTCTTTTTATGTCTTGGGCCTCTTTCAAATATTTTTAGCACTATGTCTTGTCAGTGTTCTGTTGTGGTATTGCTTGCACCCTGGGCCTCACTGGCTGTGTTGTGCATGTTATGCAGGTTGCAGTTCCCACAGCTGGCCTTGCGGCGGCGCCTTGGCCAGCTGAACTGCATGTCCCGGCCTACTGCCCGCCTGCGCTCATGGCCGCTCTCCTTCCTCTACTACATCTTGCCATTTGGAGTGCTCAAGCCCCTCGCCAAGGTGGGCTGGCGGCCCACCAGCAGAGTAAGTCCAAAAGAATGGGACGGTGCCCAGAACAGCAATATGACGTGATGTGTGTGTGTGTGTGTGTGTGTGTGTGTGTGCACGTGTGTGTGCACGTGTGTGTGCACGTGTGTGTGTGTGTGTATGAGCTGAACCGTACAAAATCTCAGTATCCAGAGACAACATTTCCATGTACAAATCTGCAGAAATATTTTTTGTAAATAATTTTTCTGTGTTACTGGTTTAGTAAAATTAATTGCTGTACAATTTGCTAAACTTTGGGCATTTCAGTAGGAATTTATTATTGGCTGATAAATGTTTTAAAATGGCAAAATGAGCCATGAAACCATGTTAATTATAGGTTGTTGTATTGGCTCAGAAATTCAATATTGGTGCATCCATAGTTTTTACACTTTTCCCTGAACCTGTACAATGTTTTATTTTTGATGCACGGTGCAACGTGAACAAATTTCCATCACGTTTTTTCAGAAAATAATATCAAGCGAGAAGGGTGTATTGTTCGCAGGTATCCTTGCATGACACATTCCTTTCACCAAGCGATAAGCTCTAATTATCAACCTTATTATGTGGATTTCAAATTAACATTTCTGTTCCAGAACACTTGAGGATCACGTGTCTTTGGATTTGTTTTTCTTATTCATGAAATACTGGTCATTTGCAGTTTTTGTTTTTCAAATCACTTTAAAGCCCTGCATGGTAGTGACAAATAGAATTGTGCAACTGATCCAGGGTTTGGGATGAAACCTACGATGTTGACTTTCTCCCCAAAACGAGCCCAGAATGTATTTCAGGTGCATACTCTGGAATAAATGTGAAAACACGCTTATTGCCAAAAGTAGTTACCTATCCTGCTGTTTTATGTAGCTTGTGATCAGAGTCAGATTCAGGACTAGTTTCCCTTGCCTAATTTCAGTCTTACAATTAAAAGAAACCTTTACCAACCTGTTGTCAGACGTTTGTGGAACAAAGGAGGCATTGAGGACAAGAGTGGTCAGAGCCAATGGCTGCTTGCATATGCCCTCTCCCCAGCCTTGTGTAAAAAGGCCCATTGTCCTGTTGGGGCACACTAAAGTGAGGAATGCTTTGTCTGTTTGGTCACTGCATCTTCCGAGTAGGTTCAGTGCTCTGTGCACACTCTGAATGTTTAGGGTGTGCAAAATTGCCATACAGGCCTCAGATACTGTATCTTGAGATGTGAGATCTTGATTGTTATTCAGTGATTTACTCAAGCACGTCTTATGTAATTTGAGACTGTTGCATTAAGACAGTTTTTTAGATACAGATCTTATTGCAGTATACAACACAGACAATTCAGTCTGTTGGATTACTGTGCTAAAGAATGAAAGTATGCAGTTGGCTAAATATGCTGCTGATGGCCTTTTAAACTTTAACTTTGTCTGAACGGTAACATCACACAAATTATTACTAGTGTGAGCAATGTGGTTAAATTAGTAACACTGCGATTTAGTTAAATAAAAAATGTATCTCCATTTATTTTTTATTTATTAATTTATTTTAACTGATTTTGAAAATGCCCTTTACAGTGTGTTACATTTCATGATGAATGGAGCAATAGACTCCAATTAACTCCAATTAAAAGTTTTTTCAAATGTTTTTCCTTCCCCTGTAAAGTTACCATTTTGGATGTACAAAGTTTTGTTGTGGCAGAGATGATATAACATGATGCTAATTCAGGGTTTAGTTGAATACAAATTAATTTAGAATTTTGTTCTTTACCATGCTATGTTTTAATCTATTCATATTTTTGATTATTTTGAATGTTCAGGTTTTGTATAAACCTAGCATGCACTTGTATACAAATATTGTATAAAAATGTGTAAAAAAATACCAGTACTTGCCTAAACTATTCTTAAAATTAAAACAAAGTACTACACCTCCCATATACACCTTCTAAAAATTAACTTACAAACTATGAAATGTATACTATGGGTCTAGAAGATGGCAGTACTTAACATTCATGCAGATAGGCTGGACTTGGCATTTAGACGTCCTTTTTTGTCAGCTAGAGCTGAAGTGGACTACTGTAATCCACTTATAGTCGACACTTTGCCCAGCTTCTGTCCTACATCTCAGCACCCCTGGCCCCCATGGTTTCAGCCCAATGGTTTAATTCTAGCGTTATCACTTGGTGTTATTTCTGGAGAATAAGATCTTCAGTGAAGGAAGTTGATGTGATCCCTGGAAAAAATATCTCTGAAATTTATATGTAATAAAAAAAAGAAAAAAATGAGAGAGAACTCATTTACAGTAAGCTTAAAAAAATATTTAATTATGTCTTTTCATGGGACAACACTACTTGGATATAACTTAAAGTAGTCAGTGTACAGCTTGTGTAGCAGTATGGATTTACTGTCCTCTGAAAATAACTCAACACACTGCCATTGATGTCTAAATAGCTGGCAACTAGAGCTGGGCGATATGGCCAAAAATGTTATCATGATAAACAAAATTCATATTGTTCGATATCGATACATACTGCGATAAATGTCAAATCATTATTTCTTTCGAGTTTGAAGGCTGATTTTTTGCTCCTGGGTGGTTAATTGCTGTTTTAAACTATCCTTTATGGTCGGAACACGACAAACACTCGCCAAACAGTGGAACATTTCACAAATCTGTCATGGGAGAGTGGGAGAAAGTGTCTGAGCTGTTTTTACCAGCTGGAAAAGCATGGCTATTTTGTAATAGTCATAATCTAAGAAAGAAAACAGATTAGCTGATGACAAGCGCTCGGCTACCCCTTTACAAATGACATCACAGTATTCAGACGCCAGCTAGCAACGACTGGATTTCTCTATACTATCATAGTAGTTTAAGTGGTGAACCGCAAAATATCTAACACCAGACAAACAGAGTCCTCTTTCTAGGTACGTTTAAACTGAAAGCGGTGCTGACGGAGCGCTGCTTCAAGTTAGCCAGCTGCTAAAAACAGCTAGCCTGGAAAGCTAGCGCTCTCCCGCTCTCCAGTGCCTCACAGCTTCCTCAGTTTACTTTCGTTTAAATCAGGGCTGTAATTTACATGACACCACTTCTTTCTTTCACTTTCATTGCTTGGGAATGCAGTAATACTTAAATACTTAAATTGACTCTCCGAGCGCTGTAACAGCGATTTAGTTGTAAGGATTGTGATTGTGATTTAATGCTGCTAAAGCTGGTTAGGATGTTAGGAAAGAGGTGAGCTCGCTGTAGGACAGTATAGTTACACCACTGACCTCTTCACTCACACTTGGTCACAGGAGAACAGATCGCCGGTCACTCCACTCAAACAGGGAATGTATAACTCCGCGTTTCAGCCGTTGCTAAAGACTCATCTTACTCGTGGCCCCCTCCCTCTCTAATCATGTAGAAAAACTCAGAAGTGCGCCCTCCACTGGCGACAGCTGAGTAGTGTCGCTTTCCTTGCAGTAGAAAACGCCACCAAGGCTTTCGCTAGAACGTAGAAGTGTGAGAATGGTGTATTATATCGAACATTTATCGAACATGTCGTATCGCTCTATCGAGGAAAAGTTATATCGCGATACTTATCGTTTTATCGCCCAGCCCTAGCTGGCAACACAAGTGAGTACACCTCACAGTGAACATGTCCAAATTGTGCCCAACTGTGTCGTTGTCCCTCCCTGGTGTGATGTGACTCGTGTTTTGAGTACAATTCTCTCATACTGGCTACTGGATATTCAACATTGCACCTCATGGCAAAGAACTCTCTGAGGATGTGAGAAATAGAATTGTTGCTCTCCACAAAGATGGCCTTGGCTGTAAGAAGATTGCTAACACCCTGAAACTGAGTTATAGCATGGTGGCCAAGGTCATACAGCGGTTTTCCAGCACAGGTTCCACTTGGAACAGGCCTCGCCAAGGTCGACCAAAGAAGTTGAGTCCATGTGTTCAGCGTCATATCCAGAGGTTGGCTTCAAAAAATAGATGCATGATTGCTGCCAGCATTGCTGCAGAGGTTGAAGAAGTGGGAGGTCAGCCTGTCAGTGCTCAGACCATACGCCGCACAATGCATCAACTCAGTCAGCATGGCCGTCGTTTCAGAAGGAAGCCTCTTCTGAAGCTGATGCACAAGTGTTATTTTCAGAGGACAGTAAATCTATACTGATTTAAATCTAGACTGATAACTAAGTTATATCCAAATTTAATTTCTATAGTGTTGTCCCATGAAAAGATATAATAAAATATTTGCAGAAATTTGAGGTGTGAGATACTGTGTATATATGTGTGTGTATTTATATATATGTATTTATATATATATGGAATTTTAGAATTTTGTTCTAGAAAGATATAAAAGAGATGTCATAATTTGAATGGTATGTTATAATTTTATAAGGACCATGACTTAACATCAAATGTGGATCAGTAAGATTTGGATGATATCTAATCTGATTGTAAGGTGCTAAGTTTTATGTAGCTTTGTATTGGTGCCAGTGCCAATCCAGTATATCAAATCATTGCATCATTAGTATAGACCTTAACATTTGGTGGTTGATCACCTGGCTACGGTGTATTACAGTAATTCTATGAAATAAGTGTGTAGTATTCCTAACATGCTCTTTACTGGTCTAGGTTACCATATATAAGTCCATACCTACAAGGCTACTCTCCAGAGCTTGGGGTCGACTCAACCAAGTTGACCTTCCCACCTGGTTACGGAAGCCCATTTATAGCCTATATATATGGACATTTGGGGTAAACATGAAGGAGGCAGCTGTGGAGGACCTGCAGCATTACAGGAACTTGGGCGAGTTCTTCAGACGCAAACTGAAACCGCAGGCCCGGCCTGTGTGTGACTCCCACTGCGTGGTATGTGTGTGTTTTTTTTACTTTTAATTAGTAACAAGTAAGAACCACATTTATTTACCATGTACATGTATTAGGAGTTTGTCTTGGTGTTTGGTAGCAAATTTACGTATTTATAGTCAACTCCAAATTATGAGCCCCCCTCAAGAAAAATAGGCAAAAGTAATCATATGAAGCTAACAATGCCTATAAGGATTCAAATATTTCTAAAAAATGTTGGTGAAATTGCTGACCATATGTCGAATAGAAATAATTTGTACAAGACAGGTGTACTGGTACACAAAAATCATGATGTGATTTACACCACGGTTTGGCCATCACGGTTCGGTGCCACGGGGAAAAAAAAGCAAGAGACACCCAAATGCGTAAGGCTTGGTTTCTTTTCATTTATTTTGAACAGACAGTAGTGCAAGTTATAGTTTGTTCCACCTAGTCCTGTATAGTCCCCCTGAGGTAACTTTGTTGGTACAGCCTGTAGTGTGTGTCATTTGCACTCGACCAGGAAAGTCTAATGTTAACGTTATGCGGTGATAGGAATTGTGCTGAATCTCTTCACAGGTGCAAAAATACTGCAGGCTGTGTAGAGGGAAAATCAGCTTGTGTTTTTTATTTTTACATTTTTTTTTAAAATCCCCTCTCTTTTTATTTACCTTGATAGCTGCCTTCCTCAACTCTCGCTGACTGCTCCATCACCTCAAGCTCTGCCTCACAGCTGACCAGGGGTTAGGGGTTGTGACACTGCTCCAGTTCTCGATAGACCGAATTATTTGGTGCTAGCTGCAAAGAAAGGCTCCTCTTGCTAATTTCTTACCGAGTTATCTTCTTCATCCAGTGAGCCGACAAGTTTCCTCTTCAGATGCTACAGTACGGAGGATGTGCTCCCGTGCCAGCTAAGGTCGGCTTACAAAAAGCACAACTGATAACCTTTTTTTAAGTTTAGCTTCACACCTTTGAGGATTTTGTTCTTGACTACTAAATTATTTGCCAGCTTATTTGGTCGTCGATTTTAGTCGACTGAGTGGAATAATCGTTGCACCCCTATTCTCCATGTGTTTATTTCCGTTTTTTCCGTTATTTCCGAGCTCTGAGCTTTTTTTCGATTATTTCCGAGCTCTTGTGAAAGTCAGTGGCTTAATACCAGAAGATTTTATCCCAAAATCTGTCTGCCTCTGCCAGAGGGTTAAAACTTGGCAATGGGTGGCCCTTTCAGCAAGCAAATGTAACTTAGTAGTGGTGCCAGTACCAATCCAGGATATCGAATTAGTGCATCATCAAAATTTACACAGAAAGGGTCGCGGGAACACAAAATGATAGTTTTGCAATGGGCTTCTCCATCTCCAGATTTGAACTCCATTGAAAACATGTAGTGTGTATTGAAGACGGCAGTCCACAAGAGAAGACCCAAGAATATCAAGGCTCAGTGCTGTTATTCTCACCGGGGGGCTTCAAGAAATGTTAATAATAGAAGTGCAAATATTTTTCAAACCAATGTTTTTTAAAAAGAAATGTATTACTATGAAAAAAAAACATATGCAGCTTAGCCGTTTGTTTAAGCCTAAAATATCACAATAGCTCATTTTCATGAAAAATGCCAGTAATTCTGGAGTTGACTGCATATGCGTAGAAGCATCCAGACACCCCTTCTAATTAGTGCATTTAGCTTCTTTAAGGTGCACTCATTGCTGACACAGGCGTTTAATTGTGCACACAGAGCTTATATAATCTCCATAGGAATGAACTGCCAACAGAATGGAAAGCTCAGTAGCAGTCGCGTGTGTCTAAGGCAGAAGTCTTCAAATCCAGTCTTTAAATCCTATTCCTGTATCCAGTTACCGGTTTCCACTTTCAGTGCTGGATTTTTTAATCACTGAAAGGTATGACACTAGGCGGCCAATGAATCATGATTATAAATTCCAGGACTGGAAAACTGGATTTGAAGACCTCTGGTCTGAGGTCACCATACCCAATGCCAAGTGTTGGCTAGAGCGTTATAAAGCTCCTTAGCATTGGAAAAGCGAAAGTGCATTCTCTGGAGGGATGGAGCACCTTTGAATATCTTTGGGATGAGTTGGAGTGCCATGTGTGATTCAGAACTGTTCATCCAACATCAATACCTGACCTCACTAAGTCTTCTGTGGCTGAATGCAATCATATCCTCACAGCAATGTTCCAGCATCTAGTGCAAAGCCATCTCAGATGAGTAGAGGTTTTACTGCAGCAACAGGGGGTCATACCCTTGATTTTAGAAGAAATGGATGAGCAGGTGTCTACAAACATGTAAGTACAGTGGTGCTTGGAAGTTTGTGAACGCTTTATAAGTTTCTATGTTTCTGCACACATTTGACCTAAAACTTCATCACATTTTCAAGTCCTAAAATAGATAAAGAGAACCAAATTAAACAAATGAGACAAAAATATTAGACTTGGTCAATTATTTATTGAGGAAAATGATCCAATATTACATACCTGTGAGTGGCAAAAGTATGTGAACCTATAGAATTAGCAGTTAATTTGAAGGAGAAATTAGTCAGGTTTTATTTAAAGAAAGTCTGATCTTCACAACACATGTTTGTGGTAGTGTATTATGGCAAGAACAAAGGAGATTTCTGAGGATCTTAGAAGAGTTGTTGATGCTCATCAGACTTGAAAAGGTTACAAAGCCATCTCTAAAGAATCTGGACTCCACCGATCTACAGTCAGACAGATTGTGTACAAATGGAGGAAATTCAAGACCATTGTTACACTCCCCAGGAGTGGCTGACCAACAAAGATCACACCACGAACAAGGCTTGTAATAGTCCGCAAGGTCACAAAGGAACCCAGGGTAACTTCTAAGCAACTAAAGGCCTGTCTCACAGTGGCTAATGTTAATGTTTATCATCCACCATCAGGAGAACACTGAATAACAATGGTGTGCATGGCAGGGTTGCAAGGAGAAAGCTGCTGCTCTCCAAATGGAACATTGCTGCTCGTCTGCAGTTTGCTAAAGATCACATGGACAAACCAGAAGGCTATTGGGACAATGTGGACGGATGACACCAACATAGATCTTGTTGGTTTAAATGAGAAGCGTTATGTTTGGAGAAAGGAAACCACTGCATTCCAGCATAAAAACCTTATCCCATCTGTGAGACATGGTGATGGTAGTATCATGGTTTGGGCCTGTTTTGCTGCATCTGGGCCAGCACGGCTTGCAATCATTGATGGAACAATGGACTCTAAATTATACCAGCCAACCAACATAAGAGTTGAAGCTGTTTTGTATGGAGGAATGGGCTAACACTCCTCCAAGCTGATATGCAGGACTAATCAACAGTTACCGGAAACGTTTAGTTGCAGTTGCAGGGGTCACACTAGATACTGAAAGCAAGGGTTAACATACTTTTGCCACTCACAGATATGTAATATTGGATCATTTTCCTTAATAAATAAATGACCAAGTCTAATATTTTTTTCTCGTTTGTTTCTTTTTATCTACTATTAGGACTGCGGTGTGAAAATCTTATGAAGTTTTGTGTCAAATTTGCAGAAAAATAGAAAATTCAAAGGGTTTACAGACTTTCAAACATCACTGTATATAGTGTACACTACATGGCCAAATGTATGTACACAGCCGACCACAACATCCATATGTGCTTGTTGAATATCTCATTCCACCTTGAACATTAGCGCGGAGTCACTTTTCATTTTTAAGATTGTGCTTCCAGTACTTTGTTGCCGCATTCTGTGAGCTCATGTAGCTGTTCTTGCTCCTAGATGTTTCCATTTCACAATAACATACCTTGCAATTGACTAGGCTGGCTCTACCAAGGCAGAAAGTTTCACTTTTTTGAAAAGTGGAAAGCTGTTATACTGTGACAGTGCACCATAGAATGTCACTGAGCTCTTCAGTATGACCCACTCTGCTCTGTTTGTCTCTGGAGATTGCATGGCGGTATGGTTGATTTTATATATCTGTTAGCAATGAGGGCACTGAAATAACAGTGTTGTATGGGTACATACATTGCGCTTTTGGTAAATATCAATAGTTGTATGGCAATTAGATTGTGTAGTTATGTCCAATAGTAATACTGTGTATAATAACTATTGCTAATAGTAAATATAAAGTTAGTTATTTTACAAGGTTTGAGAACCATTTTGATGAATTGGCACTAAGGTCTGATCTGTTTTTCAAAAATGTGCGAGTAAGAGATTTAGGGCCAGGTTTTATAACCAGGGCCACCATAAACACCTGAGGAGGCTAATTGAAGATCAGTCCTCCTCTGTGGTTTATTTTGAATGGAATCCCAATTTACCCTAGCAAGCTGGTTTTGTTACTTTCCTGTGCATTGTGTCTTCAGATTAGTCCAGCTGACGGGAAGATCCTTCACTTTGGCCGGGTAAAGAACTGTGAGGTGGAGCAGGTAAAGGGCGTCACCTACTCCCTGGAGACCTTCCTTGGGCCGTTCACGTGGGCTGAGAATTTAGCCATCAACAGAAGTGAGTTCCTTTAGAAAATTTCTGAAAAGTTTCTGAATTCAATCTGAATTATGGTTTGTCCTTGTTATATTTCTTATAAAATGGCTAATGAACTTTCTTGTTGTCTAGGATAAGTGTTCATTATGTGTGTGTGTGTGTGTGTGTGTGTGTGTGTGTTAGATGAGGATGACCCAAGCTCCTTCCAGGACCTGCTGGTCACAAAGGAGGGAAATGCGCTGTTCCACTGCGTGGTGTATCTGGCCCCTGGTGACTACCACTGCTTCCACTCTCCAGCTGATTGGAGAGTCGCACATAGACGCCACTTCCCTGGTAAGTGACCTCCCCACTTCTTCCTCTGAATTCAAGTTCTGTCAAATCCACAAATTTGTAGCACTTATGGAGGTAACAATTACATAACAGAAGCGGTTGTGATAGTTTAAATTGTTAAAGTCAGCATGAATTGGGAATCATAAAGCATTTTCCATTTCCATTTACACAGTATTAGAGAGGGTCTGACTAGCTGAGCAGTCAGGGATAGGTGGGGGTGGTAAGATGGGAGGTGAAACATGTCATCAGTATAGTCATAATCTTATTTTTCTCTGCGTGCTGGTATGCAGTGACTTAATCAAAACCAGTTGTGCAGAAGTCACTACACTACACTTCAAACAAAGATTATGGGAAAACCTAATATATAACTTTTAATTTGTTGAGTTGTGCTTAATATCAGTAGGGGCATTAGCTAACAGGGTTAAAAAGGTCCATTTTGATTTTAATTTGACTTTATGCATATATTAAGCAATTTGTTTCATTTAAATTGTTTATGATGAATTTGATCAAACATCTTGTAATGGTGTTTTTCTTTTTGTTCTAAAAGATTTAGTACAGCATAGGCATGGCCAATTAACTTAACTTACTTTTTTTCCTGGTGTCCTGTTAAAGAAGACTGCATTATTGAAACACACATACACTGATCAGGCATAACGTTATGTCCTTGTTTCTAAGCTCATTGTCCATTAAATCAGCTCCACTAACTATATATGTGCACTTTGTAATTCTACAATTACAGACTGTAGTCCATCTGTTTCTCTGCATACTTTGTTAGCCCCCTTTTACCCTGTTCTTCAGCGGTCAGGACCCCCGTGGACCCTCACAGAGCAGGTACTATTTGGGTGGTGGATCATTCTCAGCACTGCAGTAACACTGATGTGATGGTGGTGTGTTAGTGTGTATTGCGCTGGTCTGAGTGGATCAGACACAGCAGTGCTGCTGGAGTATTTAAACACCTCAGTGTCACTGCTGGACTGAGAATAGTCCACCAACCAAAAATATCCAGCCAACAGCGTCCTGTGGGCAGCGTCCTGTGACCACTCATGAAGAAATAGAGGATGACCAACACAACCGGTGCAGCAGCAGATGAGCTATCGTCTCTGACTTTACATCTACAAGGTGGACTGACAAGGTAGGAGTGTCTAATGGAGTGAACAGTGAGTGGACACAGTGTTTAAAAACTCCAGCAGCACTGCTGTGTCTGATCCATTCACACCAGCCCAACACACACTAACACACCACCACCACATCAGTGTTACTGCAGTGCTGAGAATGATCCACCACCCAAATAGTACCTGCTCTGTAAGGATCCATGGGGGTCCTGACCACTGAAGAACAGGTTAAAGGGAGCTAACAAAGTATGCAGAGAAACAGATGGACTACAGTCTGTAATTGTAGAACTACGAAGTGCACCTATATAGTAAGTGGAGCTGATAAAATGGACAATGAGCGTAGAAACAAGGAGGTGGTCATAATGTTATGCCTGATCGGTGTACATGCCTGGTCCACTGCAGTTTGAATGTACTTTTTAGGCTATTTTGAACGTATGTGCTTTTTTTTAAACATTAAATGATTTAATGAATATTCATGGCTGTTTTTTCTCTTTAATGTTACAGCATACAAAAGCAACCTGCAAGCTAATAGCCCCCCATCGTGGAGAAACTCTACCATAGCCTAACAACTTTTTAGTGCTTCATAATAATTGATTGTTTTAAAAGTGAAAGGGAATAAAACATTAAATTAGTACCCTGCAGTTCTTATTCAGTTCTGTTTCCCAGCAGGGCAGTCTTTGCCTTTGAAGCACTGATGTTGGTTTACTTGTCAATCGTTGCCAATATGTGAATACATCACCCTATCGCCCAGGCCTTCATTATGCTCTGAATGGTGACTGTCTATTGATCACTTTTATGAGTGAAAAAGAAACAGATGCGTGCGTGTGTGTGTGTGTGTGTGTGTGTGTGTGTGTGTGTTTTGCAGGCTCTCTGATGTCAGTGAACCCGGGTGTAGCACGATGGATTAAAGAACTCTTTTGTCATAATGAACGAGTGGTGTTGAGTGGGGAATGGATACATGGTTTCTTTTCGCTAACGGCTGTTGGAGCTACCAATGTTGGATCCATCCGCATCTACTTCGATAAGGTCAGAGCTTTAAAATTAGCTGTTCACTAAAGATGAGCATCCAAAAAAAATGCTATCATGCTTTAAACAATACTACCGCACGAGAGGAAATACTCAGATAGCAACATGACTTGACATAACGTGAGTGTATTTCGGTATTTCAGGTTGGATTTGTTATAGAATTGGATCAGATTCATTTTCTTCGCCTGTGATCCAACATTTTCTGCTGATATTGGCTGGATGCTTATTCCTTTTGATACCAGTGTACTTTGTAGTTCTAAAAGTTCTTAAAACAGTTGCCTGTTTTAACGCCTAGCATGATAACCTAATAACAATAATAGGCTATAATGTCATAAGCCTGTAGACTTGACACCGTAAGCTTTAGATGCACTATTATTTTAACAAGAAGCAATTTTATAAGCTGTTGAAATGGCATATTAAACCGAGTGCAAGAACTAACAAAATATTTCAAAAACAAAGTTACAAAGCCATAAATATGCAAATTGATTAATTGACACCATTGACATAGTCTGTCATAAACAAATTGCTACAGCCCTAGACATGATCTTTTGGACTGTTTCAAAACCAATTTAACCTGCTGTGCCATGTGAAAACCATGTAGCCAGCTAGCACTTAGTTAAAGTCAAACGTGATATGCCTATTGCACTACGCTTCCTATCCTGTATTTGAATGCTTACTTTATTTGTGTTATATAGGCATAAGGATAAATACATTGAAATGTCTGTGACTGCAGGTTTTAACAACCTGCTCTCAGATTACAGAGAAGCCTATCCTTTACTCAGCCTTCCCTTTCACTCTCTCTTAGCCTTTTCTTGACATTCTTGAGGATTTAAAAACGTAGCTAAAGCTGGTTCTTGGCTTGGAATGGAACAGTAAGAAAGTTTCTTACCACTTTCAAGTTTCAGTGACCAAAATTAACATTATTTTCAGTGTCATATTACTGTTCCTACAATATACTGAAAATGTTAAAAATACAAAGTACTAATACACACTAAAATCATTTCACCACAAATCACAAATCATTTTAACACTATGTGTTAGTGTATAAGTTTGTAGACACCTGCTCATCCAATGTTTCTTCTGAAATCAAGGATATTAACAGGGAGTTTGTTCCATCTTTGCTGCATTAACAGCTTCTACTCTTCTGGGAAGGCTTTACACTATATGTTGGAACACTGCTGTGATGATCTGTTTGCATGCAGCTATTAGTGCATTAGTGAGGTCGGATACTGATGATCACGAACACCACTCTGGCTCATTCCAAAGGTTTTGGATGGTGGTCCATTGCTTAGTGAATTGCAGTGAATGAGCCTAGTGCTGGGGAGTTCTATACCCTTCTAGACTCTTGGCATTAGGCATGATGACCTTAGGCTTAGATGCAGCTGCTCAAGAACGATTCATTATTCTATTGGCAGTGCTTTTCTATGGAGATTATACAAGCTGTGTGCGTTACAGCAATAGGTGCACATTGAGAGTAGCTGAATACACTAATTAGAGGAGATGGCTTGATACCTAAGGACATAGTGTATTATTTTAATAGACTTTTTATTGAAAATCTCATATTACTATATAGCACCAAAAAAAATCAGCAGTGCTTTCCATGCTGTAGACTGGGGTTCAATCCCCTGCCTGGGCAAGCACTCTACACTATACCAATAAGAGTCCTTGGGCAAGACTTCTAACACTACTTTCGCCTTCTACTGTTAAAATCATGCTGTAAGTCACTCTGGATAAGAGTGTCTGCCAAATGCTGTAAATGTAAATATAGATCAGTGAGAAGGGGTATCTGGGGACCCATTCCTAAATCCTCTCCTTCTTGATTAGCCCAGCTAACTGAAGGCTGATCCTATAACGTATCTACAACCCTCTCAACAGCTTATTATATCTCATGGCATTACTTCCGCCTAGGGTAGGGTTTAATAGGATACCGCGCTGTAGGGCCTGCTACGCTAAGGTTATTGTGGATAATTCAGTCAGTCCACAGACCATACAAAGACGGGATACAGCTTGTGTCCATCATTGGTATGTGTACTCTTAATTCCATTGAAGTATTTTTATCATCAGTATTATATTAGGTCAAGCACCAGAAGCAGAGTTGACCTCATTCTTAGTGGGAGACTGGGCAATCTGTTGACTTGTCAATGGTCTGCACCATGGCTGCATAACACTGTGGGTCAATGAGTCAAGTGACAGTGCAGGGTTAAATGTTAGGAGTTGTCCTGTAAATGCAGATGCAAGGGGGCACTTCATAAAGCAGGATTTGTCAGTTAGCCAGATAATTTAAAATGAAGAACCTGTACAATTGTATGCCAACGTTTGGGCCCCCCAGCCAAATGATATATATTGCTGATTTTTGAAGTGAAATTTTATGAATGTTAAAATTGTTCTGTTAAAATTGATGAACTTAAAAAATACAATAAAATAGTAATTGTGGCATGTGCAAAAGTTTGGGTACCTTACTAAGTCAATAATACCCCCTTTGGCAGCTTTCACAGTTTGCAGATGCTTTTTGTAGAAAGCGAGGAGTTTTTCTATTCTTTTGCTTAGGATTTTTCACCCACTCAAAGTGCCTCTAGTAATATTCTTGGGCCATCTTGCATGAACAGCGTGCAGAGATTTTCAACGATGTTGAAGTCAGGGCCATTCCGAAAGCTTCAGCTTGTGTGTTTTTTTGAGGTGATTCATAGTAGATTTGATTCATTAGATGAATTGTTTTGGATCATTCCTGTTGCAGAAGCCAGTCTTTTTTTAGCTACAGTTTCTTTACTGACTGTCACATTTGATTCTAGAATTTAACGATATTAGTGGAATCCATTCCTCTACCTACGTGTCTCAAGTTGCCTGAGCCACTGGGTGCCACACAACCCAAAGCATAATAAATCCACTTCTATGCTTAGCAGTTGGCCAGGTGTTTTTTGATCTGTTCCTTTTTTCACTTCATCAGTGCACAGCATGTGAAACGCCTCATTCTGAAATGCCTCTTGCATGTCTATGATAGGGTTCAAAAGTCTGAGACCACTAGTGAAAATGCTTCTATTATGCATTCCTTTCCTATTTAATACAAAGTATTTCATTTCAAATGAAAGGCCTTAACATGGTCAATTTCACAAATTTGCTTCAATTTCAATAGTGACCTACAAATAGGGCAGAATGTTGAATATTTCTTCATCATTTTATAATATCTTTATCATATTTTATTTTTATTACTTTGTTTCAAAATTTTCAGGATTCTAAAACATTCTGTTGTTTGTTTTCAGGTTTAAATGAAACAAATACCAGATTTTCAGTGTGGTCTCATACTTTTAGACCCCTCTGGTTATACTGTTTTGCATACTTTTGCATACAAGACATTTTGTGATAAGGTTGCAGGTCAGGTTTCCTTCTGATGACGCTTTCATGCAGATCATTTTTGTCCAATAACACTACTCAGTAAAATGGTGCATCTCTACTTCTGTGTCTTTTCTGCAGGTCCTTTGCTGTCATATGAGGGTTTTGTTTTGCCTTTCTGCCCAGCATACAATATAGAATTTTCTTGGTCTTCCAGATCTTGTGTTGACTTCCATAGTTCTTCTTAACGGACATTTCTTAATGAAATTTGGACAGCCGAAACTGTGAGCTGGAAGCACTTTGATTATATGTATTTTTTTATAGCCCTCCCCCTTTACAGCCCTCTTTGTAGGCATCAGTTGAAAATGCCTAATGACAATTCTTGACCTACCTAACTAGTCCAAATGAGTCAATTAAAGCCTAATGAGTTATAAAGGTTTTGAGATGTCACAAATTGAAGGCTGTCCAAAGTTTTTTAGTTTGCTTCGGTGGTTTTGTAAACTTCGCTTCACTTCAAAAATCAACAAAAGCTGTAAAGCCAGCTTACAGAGAAATACCCTCAGTGCAAGTGTTGTCCATGTTCTGACTTGGTCAATAGAGCACCCTGTTGCAAGTATGTGACAAACTGTTCCAGCTGATAAAGCTGCAGGATTTGTCCTGTGATGAAGAAGCATTAGAAGTTTTGTGCTCTCTTAGTCTGATGAACTAAAGCTTTTAGTCTGGAATGGGAAATAACAAAAACAAACCAAAACAGACAAGAGACCCATTACTTTTCTTTTGTTCTCGATTAGATATGTTGTAATGATTTAAAATACAAAATTAAAATCTGTATTAGCATTAACAAATGCATCTTTCCTCTTTAGGAGCTGCATACAAACAGCCCTCGCTACAATAAAGGTTCGTATAATGACTTGAGCTATGTGTCCAACAACAACCGAGAGGGTGTGTGCATGCGCAAGGGCGAGCACCTGGGTGAGTTCAACTTGGGTTCCACTATTGTGCTGCTGTTTGAAGCTCCACAGGACTTCACTTTCAGCCTCACAGCAGGTCAGAAGATCCGCTTTGGAGAACCTCTCGGAACTATGTAACGTGAGAAGAGTGGATCTTGTCCATGGACACACTAATATGTGTGCAAACTTAAGCAGGGTCTCAACGACTAACACACACGCACACCAAGGAACACACTCGCATACATGGAGAGTGGTTTCATTTGTACTGACACAAACCACCGCTGTTGCATTATTATGATTGGAATCCTCTTATTTACTTCGGAGCAGTTTATAACAGGTTTGCTTTTATTGTAAGTCCTCTGTTAAAGACTAAAGTAAGACCATCAACATGTGACAAAATGTCAATGTTGTTTACCACAAATTGCCATTTTTTTTGCTCTAAATTATTTTTCTTTTTGTAGTTTTCTTTCCCCCCCCCCATATTGCCTTTTTTACCAGGATGTGATTTTTGGCGTAAACCAAGTAAACACTGACACTGACCAACACCTTTGCACACTGAGTTGCTTGCAGGCTTGAATCACACCTGAATACAAACACAGGCATAATGAAGGAATGTATAAAATACCATACCGTTCTTCACTTTTGCCACACTTTCTCTTCTCTTGCTCGCTCTTTCATATGGAACCTCTGTCTAGCTTTTGATATTAAACTATTTTGATATTGAATTATGATGGAGCTAGCCTGGACAGTGGAATTACTGTTCTGGAAAGATTTGAAAGAATCACTGCCATACTTTGCTTTGCAAGTTAGATATGCTGCCTTCAGGTTCTGGTTGTACTTCTAATTGTCAGTCTTTTACTACCCTGCCAGAATGGCACTATAATATAATGTGTTAATAATTGCACTGTAGTACATTTCTCCACATTCTAAACACATTTCTAACACAAATTAATTTTCATTAGGATAATGTTGGTTTAATCGGTAGTGAATTCATGAAAAAAGCTGAACAAGATGTGCTTACAGCATGCAGAAAGTAACCCACGTTATCTTTTTTGCTGAGTGCCAAGACAAGGTTTTTATTTACAGTGTAGAGAAGCAGTTATGCACAGTATAATGCTACTGTACTCTGGTGAAATAGTACTAACTGAAGGTCTGATTTTTGCTACTTAAAAGATAAAACTTTCATGAAAGGGTCAGGTTTTAGGTTGTGTACGAAGGACATAGGGTCAGTTTCCATAATGGTGACTAAGAAGCTAGCTAAAGATGGAAGGAGTTCCCATACCTGCCCAAAAGGCACAGATTTCAGACTTATCCAAGCACAAAGGAGTTACTAGGTCTGGATGTCACCTGCACCTGAGACATTTTGTTTTTGTTAGTCTCTCCTCTATTTCTTTAATATTCTCAGCATTCATCGACATCATACAAATGATTATGATGGTTACTAAAAACAACTAAGGATTGTTTTCAAATTCTGAATACTTTTTGTTAACATATCCAGGGGCTTTGCTGTCCTGAAGGCTATCTTGCCCCATATTATTCTTCTCTCGAGTCTGCAGTAGTGCCAGTAAATGCTACATTTCTGTTGTTTTGTGTTTTGGTATAAATCTGAAACTTTGATACCTATGACTTCACTATTGTTTTGGTGGGTTTGGGGTTCTATTTTAGTGATAATCCAATAGGAAGGAGTATGGCTATCCTCTTCTACTCTGATCTAATGGAATTCCTCACTCCCTGCTTACTGGACCATACATAACAGAGAGAAGAAAAGAGTATAACAGGTGGAGCCTTCACCAAAACATCAAAACAGTGGATATTGCAAAAGCAGGCCTTCAGGTCTTCAGAGCTTCATTTTTTTTATGTAATATGTCAATTGTAAGGTTGAATCATTTAACATGGCATTTTAACTACAGTATAGTTGCAAATGCAAGCTACATCATTAATAAATTTTGGAACATTCTTTAAAAGAAGGTGTGGTGTCAACATTTCTCTCTTGGAGCAGTCATTAGAAAAATCAAAAAGCTTTTCCCTTTACTACAAAATATACTATAATTCCTTCAACCTTTAAAACAATAGCTTAAACTGGAATGAATTTTCAGTAGTAAAAACTTTGATGTAAATAACTTAATTAGGGTATACATGTGTAAGTTTGCTAGCCAACAAGATCAACCCTACAGCATGCCTTTCAGAATAGTTTTGTATTTAGTGAGGGAATAAATTCAGCAGTCATTCATGATTGCAAGAAAGCGCTACATGAGTTCATTGTAAAAACAAAGGGTAGTATCTACATAAATACAGTTGAACTTAGGTTGTAGTGTTCTTAGGCCCTTTTTGAGCTGGATTGGTTTTACCAGAGGATGTCCGGTAATGTAAGAAGTGCACAATTTGCCTGGTCGATTCATACAGGATAAAGGATCTCTGTAATTTCCCCCAAATAGCTCGGAACATCATTGCACAGATGTTTACCTTAATTGAAGGTAGAATGGGAAAATTCGGACAAAAAGCTGGCGGATAGGAAGCCCACTTCAGCTTTGTACGTTTTCTATTATCCAGTTTTGTTATTACATTATCAAGATGTCAATTCAAGCAGGGCTGTTACTGAGGAGCTCTGAGATTGGCTTATTATAGGAGGTAATTCACTCTGGCATTATTACTTAGCAGACTTGTAAAAACTACAAGCATGGCAGATTCATACTGGATTCAAATCATGGAGCTTGTTGGTAATGACTCAAATTAGAGCAGGTCCCTAGGTAAAACTAATCCCACTCAAATACGGCTTTAGTCTCAAAGCATCTGAGGTGCTGGTCCAGAGTAAAACATGTCTCTTTTCTAGTCTTAACAACCAGGCTAGCATTTATACACACCAGTCATCATTTTCCCAGGAAATGCAGAAAATGCCGCACCCTTTTTCTTTCACTTCAAGATCCTCAGTCCCAAACCGGTTCAGCTGCTGATGTCATTGTTACTGCCAACCTGCCGTCTTTCAGGTCAAACGCCACATATCACAGGGACTGAGTCAGCAATGTTGTAGAGCTGCTTATTGCAGAAACTTTTATCTGACATAACTAGACCCATGTGATCCAAGCACTGGTACTACCAAGCATGGTCAGGGTATGAATGGCAAAAAATGGTCAGCATTCTTACTCTGAGACACTTCTATATATGCAGGTTTTTGAAAGGTTCTTTCAAAATGAAGTTGCGGGTGCAAAAAAATGCGTACTGCCTTTCGTACTCAAGATATTAAAACATGTTAATCGATTTTGTGTATCTAGAATGATAATCTAGTCTAGGATGTTTTTTTTTGTTGTTGTTTGTTTTTCTCAATTGCAGTGCCGTTCAGGTCCGTGAGTAGACGTTTTGTTAAAATATTTTTACTACTACTTTACTACTAGCATATTTTTAATGTATCTACTTCCCATGAATAAGATGTCACCACATATTTGACAGCTTTTTGCCTTTCAGAAAGAAAGAATGTGCTCTTGTTCTGTCTCCCCAGCCTGCTCTGTGCAAGGCAGATTTGTAGGGTGTGGTCAGCCTGAAACTTATAACCTCACCCTGTACAAAAGACTACAATGATCCGGAGACCTAAAAGATGAACAACAGTGGCCTTAACCAAATGCCATCTCACATACCTAACAAACCAGAACTAGGAAGGTGTTTGAATTTAAATACTGCCTTGAGTCAAGCATGTTGAAACTGTGCAAGAAAGCAGGATGACTGCATGGCACCAAAACAAACAAAAGCAATCATGGTTTCTAGACATCACAGATGCCAAACTTTGTCGTCACTTACACAATACCAGAGTACACTGTACCAGGCGCAAAGCAGTTGGACAATAGCGATCAAGTACTTCAGTGCAAAGGCTATCTTTCTCAAATATGTAGTACAGTAGAAACACTGTTTGCAAAGCTAATCCATTTGTAATTATTTTATGCAGTGACTTCAATAAGGGCAAAGGAGCATGCAGTGTGTTGAAGTTAGTCTGTGCTGGACAAGTGTCCAAAGGTTACCACTAATAAGGTGTCCAGTTTAAAAAATGGGGTTCCTGGAAAACCTTCTTGGCTGTCAAATGTTCAGCTAGTAGAACCACTGGATGGAGTCGCTCTAGAAGACTTAGCCCATTCTGTTTCTTTCTCTCTGCGATTGTAAATCCAGGGTCTTCATGGGGCAGGCTGGCTCTCACATCTTCCTCCGGCAGCGACAGCAGCAGGAATAGCAGCGGCCCACTTGCTCTTCATCCTCCTTCACAGTATAGGTGCCCTGGCTGTTATATGGAGGTGGACGCTGATTGTCATCTCTCACCTCTCCATAGACAGACACACCAGCTGAAGTCTCCTCTCCTTGGGGTTTGAAGTTCCCATAAGGGTTTTGAGCAGAGCTACCATTGTAGGAGCTTTCCAGGGTCATAGGGTTGATGATGACCATGCTGGAGTCTCCATATTCACGCAGCTTAGCACGGGGAATGGTGACATTGCCATAAGGGTTGTCCAAAGAAAGATTCATGATGTCAAGGTTTGTCAGTCCAAAGCTAACTAAGGGTAACCTTCTATGGCCTAGGACAGTAGAAGATTAGGCATGAAGCTTTACTATCAACAGTGAGACTGACACGATGTTCCTGATTGGCTTGATACCTATGGAAATACAGTAGAGCTTACCAAAGATGATTGTTTAGGAATGTACTGTAATGCAAATATCAGGTTTTTACACAACAAAATGTAATTCTTTCTATCATTAAAGCACAAGGAAATTCTTTATGTAGGAGTAGCAGGAATGGGAGGATCATGTGCATTATGACTGTAACAAGCTCATCTACACTATTAAAAATAAAGGTGCCAAAATAATTTGCCATAAAAGAACCACTGTTTGTTGCTTAAAGAATTTTTCAATTGATGGGCCTTTGAAGAACCATTTTTGTAAACAAGGAGAGTGAGTGTAAAAAACTACTAAATAAAGGTTTTTCCTAGTACCATATTTTCAAGCCAATAACCATTTCAGAACTTTTATTTTTAAGAGAATAGTGTCAGGTATAATTTATTACCTTTCTTCAAAGGTTTTCTTTGTGATATTGGAGGGGACAACCCAATAAGACTTACTTGATAAGACTATCAAGTGAAACCAAAACCAGATTAGTGCTCAACAATCATTTCAATCAAATAATATTTATTTTGACCCCTTTTTTACACTTAAAACGACCCTCATCCAGACAAACTGAATTGACAGATCTGTATGCAATAGCAGTACACAAGTTAGAACAGAAGTTCCTACCGATGAACGTGTGTTCTGTGGAGAGAAATGGTGGTTGTGTATCATCAGGCCCCACAGCAGGTGTGTTTGATCTCCAGTGAGCTGTACGAGAGCTGTTCTTTCTTTTTTTGAAGCGTAATGTGGCACACCTGAACAGATAAAGTCGCAGAGAGGTGGCTGTCAAGGTGAAAATCGCGTTTCGTTCAAGCCCTGACTGGGAGTGTTTGTGTAACCCCGCCCTTGAGTGTCCTAGCACAATCACTACGTTAAGGAGTTAGTCAGCGGGGTGGGGAATGGAGTGTCGACTCAGGAATGTCCCTCCTGCCTTTCACAGCCACAGGTGTGTTTTCCATGTTTAAATGGACTGCAGTGACGCTGTTGAGATGGATTTCTAGAAAGAATAGAAATAGGGGAAAAAAGCACGTAAACTAATAATATGCATATTGTGTTGCTTACACAACAAAATGTATGACAGACATTGGCCCCAAGTTCTGGATATTCCGGAAGAAACCGTTTAGATGAGCTTTTCAGCAAAATGGACAGTGTGTATGTTTAACCACATTCCTCACAACCGGATGTAAAACAGAAATTCCACATGAAACGCTATTGTATGGCTTTTGTTGTCCCTGAAACTACTCCCATTACTGAAACTACTGTCTTTAAAGTTTTATGTCACAGCTTTGGAATACTAATTTAGATTTTTTTAAATTAATTAAAAATTATGTCTACTTTACAATAGCATACCCAGACATGGCTAAGCTATGCAGTGAAATCCTTAAACTGTGAGTAATTTCATTCATATGTACTGAGTATTTTAAAGTCATTTGGGTAAAATGTGTTGTATTGTTTTATGCTTTATTTGTAGCATTTATTCTATATGTTCTTGTTGAAGCACCTAATCCAAAATGCTATTATGGCTAATAGTAATGAAAGCTAGTTTAAAGGATAACACTATAAATGGCTGCCAGTAGTCCTCATTCCTTATCAACGTTAGCACATTTCAATGAATTATTCCTTTTAAGCTTATACCCTATGTAGTATGCTTAACATGTAAACAGAATGGTCTTGTTTGACTTGAGATATACTTCAAGTGATGGAACGTCATTACGTTTCAGAAAGCTGAATGACACAGCACCATCTCAATGCACACATACTGGTTCTAATACATTCTTGTCAGGCCTCTAGATGCCACAGTGCTAAGTGTGAATGCAGCTATATTTAACTGAATGGAGTACTAGGAGAAGGCAGTGCTAGACAGGTTGATCTGAAATGCTTCCTTAAAGATGGCAGGTAGAACTGGCATAACGTAACCTTTCCACTATGCAGTCACTAACACACAGAGACACGTATACACACAGTCACACAATTGTTGCACTCCATTATAATGCGTAAAGTTAGCACTATTGTAGTGGGTCATATGCTGGGTTCTCCGTGCCTGCTGTGTGTGTCCACACTGTTTTCTGGTAGAAAAGTAACAAAAACACATGATTCTTTAAAGCACAGGTAGTTATGGTAACAGCAACACTGGCAAAGCTAAATGGCAAGGGACAATGGGAGGTTAAGTGTTACAGCTGAACGCTCACTGTGTGAGTGTGTATGTGTTTAAAGTCAATCTAAAATCAAAATGGATCTTTTTTTAACGTTGTGAGTTCATGTCCCTGGTTATATATCAAGCATGACTGCTCATATCATATCATTTAAAAGACAAAATTCAGATTGTCCATAACCTTTGTACTGACTTTTGCCCATCTGTAAATCATCTGCTGATTTTTGTCACCATGTAACACCAGGCAGGGAAAAAAATTGACCAACAATACTGTTTTTCAAATCTACCTGTCACCAACCCCTACCTACTATCATGTCAGGTTAGCTAGTTCATAGACCCTCCCCACAACTGTGTTTCACTCAGAAACGTCAGGATAAGTCAATGGTTGCTTTGTTGAAACTATCCATTTATTTATCCATTTGATGTGGTATGAAATATCAAAACGTTTCTATCCCTAGATTTGTCCAAACAAACATGGATCCACTGCTTGAGCATTTTTAAAAACAAACTGGAATTATGAAATAAACTTCCACACTCATTTTTAGGTCAAATAGAAACCAATAAAATGTCAATTAAAAAATTTGTTAATCCTTTTAAAACTGGAATGTTAGTAGCATTGACAAATAATATGATAACTTGGGCATAATTGATAATATATTGGGGGCATCTAAACAACTAAGGATGAAAATAGATTAACTTTTTAAACATCACCAAGTTGGAGGTTTTAATTTGCTAAATCCTTGTTGGTATTATCTAGCATATATTTATGGACCCGTATACTCTGGTCAGGTGATACAACAATAGAACTCTTTGGCAGTAATTCAGCTCATCATGTTTGGAAAAAGAGGGATGTGTGTATGATCCCAAGAACACTACACCCACAGTGAAGTAGAGAGGTGAGAATATCATGAAAAGGGGCTGCTTCTCTGTAAACAGTACTGAGGCACTACATGTCACATAGTATACATTACATAGTAACAGATATCTTACCCCCAAAAAAAAAAATTTAACCTCAGCAACCATATTTGATTTTTTTGTCAGCTAACACTGATGTTGCCATTACTGATCTTGTGACAAAATGAAAAGTGATGAGCTAGACAGAAAATAACATGACTTTTCTGTGAATATTGCAATAAATGAACAAATAAATAAAAACATTTCTCCTCTGAAGGCTTAACTGATGCCTCATATCACTTTGGTAGTACATTATATTATGGTAAATAAAGCATGGAAGAGTGAGGTAGATATGCAGATAAATTATTATATTTTACTCAAATTTTGTTTTTTATATTAAATAGATGAATTAATGTTAATATGGAACCAAATAGACATTTAAGCTTGGCAAAAGACTTTATGTTAATAGTCTTATTTAGCAATATTGGTTTTTAATGGACTTCCATTGGCCTTCTGTCTAAAAATGCTTGTATTTCTAAAAACAAACAAAAAAAAAGAGTACATTTCTTTAAAAAAAAAACGTTATAATATTCAATGCCACAGAAAAAATTGCCATCTTCTTGATTTTCTCTCTTACTGCATATTTGTCACAGTGAATGCTTTTAGATCTTTAAACAAAATGTATTAAGCAAAGACAACCTTTTCAAATACAAAACATACTTTAAATTATTATTTCATTTATTTAAGGAGCAAAAATATCAAACATGAATCACCTATGTAAAAAAGTAAGTGTCCCTTTAAAATAATGGTTTCATGAACCAACATTTCCCACAATTTGATAGCCTTTCACTTTCTTGAATTTGAGCTCACTCTTCTTTGCAGAACAGCTCTAATTTAAACACACTGGTAGATGTTTGGGCATGAGCCTCTTGTTCATTAATTCATGGTTTCTTTGAAAATAGCAAGTTGTGCAGCTCCGTCTGGTTTGATGATGTCCTAGAAACTTACAACTGGTTTTGTAACCTTTTTCAGACTGATACACTGTATTTCAGCAGCTTTTTTGCCACCTTTGAATTTCCTTTTCATCACAGCCTAGTGTGATGATAAAAACTTTATGGTGACAACATCACCCTGATGGTATATCTTAATATGAGTGAGGTTTACATTATACAGGGTTGTCTGCATTCAAGCCTGACTTTGTTTAATCAGCTGAACCTCAAATGAATTAAATTTGGTTAATTTTTTGCTTGAGTAACTAAGGAGGCAATTACTTTTTTAGTATGATTTGCATATCCAATATGGTTTGCATATTGGATAACTTTGCTCAGATTATCTTTGCTTAGAGTAAACAAAATAATCATTTTAAAATGTGTTTTGTGTTTAATAAGGTTCTCTTTGTGCAGCATTACATTAAATACAACACATAGAAAGCACTCACTGTGACAAATGTGCAATAATTGCAATAAATAAATGTTTGAGCTGCTTTTGTCTCAGTGAAAGTGGCCAATAAACCATATTCCATAAGGTCTCTCTCTCTCTCTCTCTCTCTCTCTCTCTCTCTCTTTCATAAAACACACAAAGGCATACGTGCATGATAGAGGTACAGATGTGTGCCAAAAAACAAATAATACAGTGGTGCATTGTTGATTTTTTCATCTGCACTTGCAGGAAAACTGGTCTTATACTTCCAAAAAAAGTTCCTAAACATGGAATATTATATATGGATCTTTTTTTTATTCTTGGCACAGCTGCAGAGGAAATGATGTTGAGGAAACATTCTAGGTATGAAACATGTGAATGATTTATCCTTTACTTTATTATGTAAGAATCAACTACTGCTCGTCATTGTGGTTGGTATTGTGTAGTGGGTAACATCTCTGCCTTCTGCACTGTAGATTGGGGTTCAATCCCTGCCTGGGTAAGCACCCTACACTATACCAATAAGAGTCCTTGGGCAAGACTCCTTCCAAAAGTTTGCAGACTGATCGTCCAAAGTTTCTACCGAAATCAATGTCATTGTCGGAGGCCTAGAGGAGGCATTTTCACTGATAACTGTGTTGAAACGCGTGTACGCGAGGAGTGTAGTTGGTCACCAGTAGGTGGCAGTAATGCAACATAAGTTGGCCTGCCAACTATAAAAGAAGGTCAAAAAGATTA